TAGGATCCTTATGATATGAATTAGGACATAAAAATTAAGATATAATTTTATATATACTGCTTTAAGATATGTGCTTAAATAGTTTTTAACATATTTTAGTAATTGAACAGGTTACTAATTAAAACTGAAATATTTATATTAGTAATTTTTAATGTTCATACCCGCGTATCAATGCGGATCTTACTCTACTTCATTATAATGCAAATCTTCCATATTTATATATACGAATCAATGAGTTAAAAATATTCCGTAATCAATTATAAAAAGTATATATTTGTAAGTTTAAGATATGGTCAGATTTGTCGATGTGAATATTCTTTGGTAATCTATATATAGTTTTCCAAAATATTTATATATTTTTGGGAAATTTTCTATATATTTTTTTTAAATATATTATATCCATATTTTGTTAGTGTAACCCTAATATTTTGTTACCATTGTAGGTCGTTCCATTGTAGGTCGCAGTTATTTTTTGCCCCATTGCCTTATTTTAAGGTTCGTTATTTTTTTGTTCTTTCTCTTTCATATGCTAAATTCGTATATGATTGTTGATTATAAACGAATTTTGATGATTTCCTAATGATATGTTTCTTATGTTATAATGTTTCTGATTATTTCCTGCAGGTTCTCTTACTTCTTTGATCTTCTTATTTACAAATTTTAGTTGTTTGTGTTTTAACTTTTTTGATAAATTCTTTGTATATGTTACCCTAATTCTATAAGTATTATGGTATAATATATATATTGGTAACGAATCCTAATGATTTTGTTGTAAAATTATTCTGGTATAATATTGGTAATGAATCCTAATGATTTTTGTTGTTGATTTGTATTTTAATTTGCAGCTATGTCATAATATCGGGTACGTAGATTATTTTGGGCATGTTTGGTCGGAGTCTTCCAAGACTTTAAAAAATATTTAAGTGTTTAAAGATATTTTTTTACCAAACATAATTTATTGTCTTTATGTTTTTTAAAGTCTTTCTTTAATTTTGTTGTCTTTTTTTTTAAAGTCTCTCCGTAGTGACTTTAAATTTGAGAAAATAAATAAATTTAACTGATTTATTCTCTTTCTCATTTTCCAAAACTATTTCAAGCTTTTTTTATATTTATATATAGTTTATAACTAAATTTTTTTATTGATTAATTATTATCTTTTTCTATTCTTTAAAGATCTAGTTTTATGTAAATCAATAAATTATCAAAAGTTCTCAAAATGAATGAAAAAATGATTGAAAAGAACGGGATGAATCATTAAGAGTCTAAGACCATCTCCAACGTATTTATCTATTTTTAATTCTATACTAATAGAGAACATTATAACATTTCTCTATTTCTTCTCTAATATATCTTAATATGAAATGAAGCTTTTGGTTATTAAACCAAAACATGAAATAATAAAAATAAATGAGATATAGTTATTTTAGAGAATTTTTTTTATCATATTTATGTCATAATTTCTATTTTTAATATAATTAAATTATCTTTAAATAATTATTAAAATAACAACCACAACAATTTCTACAGTTTTTATTACCAAATAGATTTTTATTAATATTTAAAATAAGAGTCACAACATTAACATCCAAAAATCTAAAGAAAAAACTAATGTGAGATGTTTGATAGTTTTTACACTTAGCTAATTTTGAAGTTTTATAAGTTTTCAAGTCATCCAATTTAGAAATTTATTTTTTATTCAAATCAACTTCGATTTTGACAAGTGAATAATACACTATGTTATAGTGTTTACGACGACGATTCTATCATGTTTTAAATCCAGTCATGAACGTCTCCAATGGAAATCTCAAAATCGAAGTTGTCAGAAAGGTAGGCACTTTCCAACAACGAGTTCCAACAATTAGTTGGCATTTAACTTTATATTAAACCAGTAGCGCGAGATATGTTTTCATTAATACAATCTACCAATGTTTTCATTTCTTTACGATTAATTCATGCATTATTAAAAGAGACTACATGAGAAAAATAAAGGTAGGTGATCACGACTCCTCATATAGAGGCAAGCTTAATTAATTATGAACAAACATCCACTTAAATTTTTTTTTTTTTTAAATAAGCTAGGGAATCTTTTTGCTATATATGTTCATAAAGGGAAGATAGGAAGAAATGAGCAACTCTCTATCTCTCTCATATCTACTCCATTATTGTTCATCATAATTCACCATGGACAAGATCACATTCTCCAGCAACGAAGGAAAGCCGATTAGATGCAAAGCAGCAGTATGTAGAAAAGCAGGAGAAGCATTTGTAATAGAAGAGATCCAAGTTGATCCACCTCAAGCTTACGAAGTTAGGATCAAGATCCTATGCACATCTCTGTGTCACACCGATGTTACTTTCTGGAAACTAGACAGTGTAAGTTTACACATATATGTTTCATGGGAAAGTCACCGTATTAGCTTCACTAATCACTTTCTTACTTTTACAGGGACCGCTTGCGAGGTTTCCTAGGATTCTAGGACACGAAGCAGTCGGGTGAATCTTCACAATACGCTTCTTCAATTTCTTTCTTTTTTTTCACTCCTCTTCAAGAATTTGCCTAATTTTGTTTCCACATTGGGATTGTAATCTAGAGTGGTCGAGAGCATTGGTGAAAACGTGGACGGATTTAAACAAGGCGACGTCGTTTTGCCAGTGTTTCATCCTCAGTGTGAAGAATGCAAAGACTGCAAGTCCTCAAAGAGCAACTGGTGCGCAAGATTTGCAGACGATTTCTTACCCAACACAAGACGATATGGAATGGCTTCAAGATTCAAAGACTCTTCGGGACAAGATATTCACCATTTAATCTTTGTCTCGAGTTTTACCGAATATACCGTCATTGATATCGCACATCTCGTCAAAATTTCACCTGAAATTCCTGTTGATAAAGCGGCTTTGCTCAGCTGCGGTGTCGCCACAGGTTAATCATCTTCGTGTAGGATTGGTTTGATACTTTTCACTTTGCATGAAGTGAAAATTTTATTACTATTTTGTCTAGTCGATATCGTTTGCTCCATAGTTTTCTCCGTGGGTGGGATATAAATTACGCTTTGGTTACAAATTAGTTGTACAATGAACTAACGATGCGCCACGTGGAGCAGGACTTGGAGCAGTTTGGAAAGTGGCTGACGTGGAGGAAGGTTCCACCGTTGCAATCTTTGGCATTGGAGCTGTTGGACTTGCGGTACATTTTCATGTTTCTTTCACAATGCATTAATTAACAAGTTAATTATGTGTTTAATTAATATAGTGATTATTTTGCTAATCACATAGTTAAAATGGTTTAGAAAACAAAAAGAAAACTAAAAATGATTTGGTAAACAGGTTGCAGAAGCAGCCAGGCTACGTGGGGCTGCAAAGATAATTGGAGTGGATCTCAATCCCGACAAATTTGAAATAGGTTTGGTTGGTTTATATTCTTGCAATCTGTTTGGGGGCTCTGAATTTCTATAGTTTTTTTTCAAAGACACTAGTTGAATTGAAATAGTCCATGTCACATCAAATATCTAGGAATTAAAATAAAAAATAAAAAAATCGAAATCTGATTCCATGATCAGCTATTTGGTTCAGAACCCGCAAGTTATAGATATTTGACTATATACG